ATCAGGTGGTCAGGCTCGCTGACTTGGTTGACACATGTCATCGGTTCCCAAACATGCAGATTGAAACTCGTGATGTCAATCACTGGATTGTCTGGTCCAGACTCAAATATTTACAGATGGCCATTATACAGCTAGAATATTGCTGAGGGTGGCATTAAACAACAAACAAACAAACAAACAAACAACGTTTCTAAACAGCATCGTAAAGTCATTATCTGTTATATCAGATATCTGGACATGGAGTTGTGGTGTACATTTCAGGCTCAACTAACTGCATTACATGCAGGTTTCAAATTCACAATCTGTGTTCAAGTAGTAATTACTCTAAGACTTGTTTGTTTTGATTCATAAATGTTACTTGTTCATTTCTAGAGTGGCTGCCACCTTCTGTAAGTACATGCTACAGTAGATGATCAGGGTATGATCACACACCAGGGCAGCCAGGACTTACATGTATGCCCTCCACGGTATACTGGTTGTACTGGTGGATCATGCACTCAGTCTTCTTCTTGAAGCTCTTGGCTGACGAGTTGGTCCACCAGCTGTGTAGGTTGCCAAACTTGTCGTGAGTTCCGACCTGTGGACAAGAGGGAGAGGCTGTAGAGGGAGCTTGGAGAGCTTGGAGAGCTGCGAGGAGGAAGTGGGGGAAGTGGGTGAGGAGGGGTGAGTGGAGTGAGTGAGTGAGAGAAATGGGTGAGTGGGTGGAGTGAGATGGGTGAGATAGTGAGTGAGTGAGTGAGTGGTTGGGTGAGGTGAGTGAGTGAGGGAGGAGAGTGAGTGAGTGAGTGAGTGAGTGAGTGGAGTGAATGGGTGAGTGAAATGGGTGAGTGAGCCAGAGATGATGGAGTGGTTGAGTGAGTGACTGGTTGAGTGAGTGAGCGGTTGAGTGACTGAGTGGTTGGAGTGAGTGAGTGAGATGGGTGAGTGAGTGAGTGAGTGGGTGAATGAATGAGTTACACCTCTTCAACAGTATTCTAGCAATATCAGTGCGGAAGACACCAGAAATGACCTTCACACTTTGTACTCAATCGAACCCGGATCTTTGGCGTGATGAGCTGGACACTTTAACCAATGGGCTACCCTACTGCCCCTTTGGGTGAGTGGAGTGAGTGAGTGAGTGAGTTTAGGTGTACACAGCTCTTTGCAATATTCCAGCAATATCACAGCAGGTGACACAAGAAATCACACATTGTACCCTTGGGTGAGTGAGTGAGTGAGTGTAGGTGTACACAGCTCTTTGCAATATTCCAGCAATATCACAGCAGGTGACACAAGAAATCACACATTGTACCCTTTGGGTGAGTGAGTGAGTGAGTGTAGGTGTACACAGCTCTTTGCAATATTCCAGCAATATCACAGCAGGTGACACAAGAAATCACACATTGTACCCATGTGGGGAATCGAACCCAAGTCTCGGCGACGGACGAGCCAACATTGTAACCATTAGGCTACCCCACCACCCCTTTAAGGTGAGTGAGTGTGTGAGTGTGCTGGTTGAGTTGGATGAACCTGTTGTGTTGGTTGAACTGGGTTAACTCGTAAACTGGGTTAGTGAATGAGCTGGGTGGGTTGAGTGAGAGAGGTGAGTTAGTGAGTGAACAGGTTCAGTTGGGAGAATGAGTGAGTTGAGTTTGGTTTTACGTCACATCAGCATTATTCCAGCCATATAGTGATGAGACCAAGTCAGCATTTATAAACATTTTAAGTCCGAAGTCCAAATGAGTTATATTTTGAAAACATATATATTGTTTGCATTATAGCACCAAATTTAAAAGCAATCAATTCGTTATTCACATTACATAGTTACAATTTATGATACAGGTCAACCACCCCAGGTAGTTAACGATGAGATGCCCGCTCACGCGGGAAAATAGATCTTTCAGATTTCTCGCATCATAATGTGAATCCCTTGTATTTGAAAAGTCCACACAGTCAAGCAGAATATGCTTGATGGTGAACACTTCATCGCAAGAGAGACACACATGGGAGGTCCATCCCCATCCGTATTCAGCAAAATAGTCATGAGTAAACCGACTGCAGACCAATAATGACATCATCGTCAGAAAACTACCTCATCACGCCTTGACTGACAACCTAAGTCGGGTGAATGAGTGGTCTCGTGAGTCAGCACTGGGTGAGTGTGAGATACCAGCTAGAACTGACCATGAGAGGGTACAATTGGTATAAAAAGCAAACAACACTGCCACTAAGTGCAATATGGGTGAAAACATCTACAGTTCCTAACGGGTGTATCTGCCAGATCCTGCCACAACAAAGGGACACAACTACACATTGTGTTCTGATAATTACACAGAACTGTATGGTTACTGAAAGTGTAATGAACTGTTACGATGTTATTGGAAGTAAATACATGGATAAAGGTTGGTATGGTTTGATGGAGTGATGGATTGATGGACTCACCTTTGTTATCGAATCCATGGGTCAGCTCATGGCCGACAATCATTCCAAGAGATCCGTAACGGAATGACCTGGAATAAATAGCACTGGTACCTCAACGATCGCAACCACAGCAAGAGTCTCGCAATTTCAGAAATTTTAGACAATCAAAGAGCAATAAGGCACATTTTGGACAGATATGGGAGAACAATCAGCATAACTTTCTTTTCAACATAGCTTCCTTGGATGCCATAATAATGTTTTATACAATTCATTCAAACCTATTGAACAAATTCAGTTTTTGTTTTAGTTAGTTAGTTTGTTGTTTAACGCCCAACTCAGCAATATTCCAGCTATATGGCAGCGGGTCTGTAAATAATCGAGTCTGGACCATACAATGTAATGATCAACAGCATGAGCATCGATCTGTGTAATTGGGAACTGATGACATGTGTCAACCAAGTCAGCGAAGCCTGACCACCATCCCGCTAGTCGCTCTTACGACAACAAGCATAGGTTACTGAAGACCAATTCTAACCCGGACCTTCACGGGTCGAAACAAATTCAAATGTCACAAGAGGTCGGAACATGTATGTGAACTGCCTCATTGATTCAGATGTTTCTGATAAAATAGAGGAAATAAATTTTGTGGATACTGAAATTAAGGTTAAAATTTAAAACATCACAAAAGACCTAACACGTAAGTTAAGCCCTACCACTGACTATGAATGAAACCAAATTTGATTACATTTTTAAAAAAAAATCTGATGAAAGTATTAAACATGCACAAACATAGCAGCTAAATCCATCAAGACATTTTGAGTCAGGTGAGCTAAACAGGTATGTAACCATGGTAACCGCATACAATGGAAACAGTGGGTTGAAGAATGGTTTCTGCAGGATTCCAGCAGGGAACACAATCTGGTTGTTGGAAGGACTGTAGTACGCGATTGACATCAGAAGGCCCCATGTCCCATCTGAAACAGAGGAAGTGAAACGGACTGTCTAAAAATATTCTGAATGTTTGACACACAAACAGTACAACCTTGGTATCCGAAACTTGCATTTTCTCAAATTTTGTTGGATATTTCTGGATATCCCAGTCTCTTCAGTTACCTTTCTTACCTAAATTCTACAGAAAGCAATAATATTCTATTCTATTATATAATGCAAAAGATTAATCAAGGATCTAGTGAAGTCAAAACAAAACATCGCCGAAAGTGTTGTTGCTGTCCAGCAGCTGTGTGTCTGTATCTGGATAATGGAAGTCTTTAATGTAGCATAATTCAGGCCTACCAAAGAAAACTTTCCCACTGTGCAGAAAAAACGCAAGAAAGCCCACATTAATCGTGGAAATAGCAACATAAACACATTACCTCGCTACTGAAACAGTAAAACGGCAAACGAAAAACCATGAAACTGCAACATTTTTTATATCAGCTTAACTTTGACCTCTACTGGCGCATGACATTACATTCCGGTTTCCTTCCAGTTTCCGAAGCAACCGAATCACCCCTCGCGAGAATAAAGTATTAAATATGTCGAAATAATTGCTGTCAATGGTTTCATACTTAATGGAAAGTAAACTAAACAAGTGTGCACACAAGTATCATGATGATAAATGCCAAATAACACAACAGAAATACTTAAAAAGGAATGTAACTTTGTCCAAGCTGGAAAATGTCAACATGCAGTCAAGACTTCCTCTTCCATGTGCATGCTAAAAATCGGGTTTCGGGCTCCTCGCTTTATGATGCAGTGTTAGCGCTTTTAAAGTTGCCGCTTTTACTATTTCAGTAGCAAGGTATTTTGTTTATGCTGCTATTTCCACTGATTAATGTGGGCTTTTCTGTGTTTTTCTGCACAGTGGAAAGTTTTCTTTGGTAGGCCTGATAAATGCCATTCTACATTAGTGTTGGGAATTGGTTGAAATCTCAAAATTGATAATTGGTTCATAACCATCGAAAAAAAATTGATAGCATCATTGTTAAGATTTTCCTATTCAGGTTGTTATTGAAGATAAGTGATAACGTGGTTCATCTGTTGTTTTTTAGTTTATTTAGAAACTGGCAAGAAACTGCATTTGCACATTTCACATCCGTGCAAAATAATGCAACTTGCTACTTTAAAGTGATGACTAGAATTATAATAAACATAAACTTCCTTTGAGTCTTTAAGAAATATTCAGTCATGACTTTTCAGTAAGTGAAGTGATTTTCTAAGAATTAAACATGTTTTCTTTCAGGCCCTGACAACTTCTACGCTATGTTCCATCGCCAAGTCTTTCAAACAGTAAAACAGTAAAAGTAGTTCCAAAATGTTTGTGTTCGATAATGAGAAAATCTGATCCATTGCTTTGGTCGCTCGGGTCACTGTGACCAATCTTTGATTATTTCAATTAATAGGAACACCACTATTCCACATAACAAAGACTTTCTTAATTCAGATTTTTTCTACTTACCATATTTTGCACAGATATAAACTTTTGTTTTTGTCTTTCAACCACACACCTATCCAACATTTTTGGATGAAAAAAATCTAAATTTCCAGGTGATAAAACGTCCAAAGCCTTCAGAGCTTACTCTGTCCTGTCAGGTTTTTTCCCTCTCTTGTTCAAGTTGTACTGTTTCTGGAAGGACATGACAGATATGCGGTTGACCAGGAACTGCCCCTCGGTGATTGTCATCTGTAAACACGGGAAAATCTGCTACAATCTGGTTAAATAACTACAAAACCGCAGAAAAAAACAAAACTGGAGGTGAAAAATATCTCGTCATCATCAACTACACAGGCATCTTTCTACTCCAGCGAGGGAAACCTTCGCTAAGTGTGTGAGAGGGAAGGAGTTCCTTCCGGTTCCCTACCATATTTTAGGGGAAACATTACATTATAGGGTTCGACCCTATATATTGTAATTAATTTTGGGGCTTTTAGTTATTTTAGTGAGTTCTTGTAATTGTTGTGTTAGGTTTTGTTAATAATTTTATATATTAATTTATAAATATTATTTGGGATGGGGAGAGGTACAACACCAATACACAGGACGGTCATAAAAGTGGAACAGATGTACACTGACTTTCTCACGAGAAAGTGTTATATATCTGGAAGACCACAGAGTGGCAATTTTTGTTGTTGTTGTTTATTTCATTTGTTTAGAGGGCGGTTAGGTTGCCCAGTGGTTAAAGCGTTCGCTCGTCACGCCGAAGACCCGGGTTCGAATCCCCACATGGGTACAATGTGTGAAGCCCATTTCTGGTGTCCCCCGCCGTGATGTTGCTGGAATATTGCTAAAAGCGGCGTAAAACTAAACTCAGTCAGTCAGTCAGTCATTTCTTTAGTGTTAAATTTTGTATACAGTCAAGCAACGTTGTCTCGATATTCATGGCTCCAAGAAAAAGTTATCGGAACTTCGAGACATCTGCCCAGGGCATATCATCACATATCACTGTGTCAGAAAGGAAACCAAACAATTTAGAAACTACTCCACAATCACATGCTAGTCAAGTGATTACACAAAACTCTCGTTGGATTCTCAGTATCTTTTGATTTGAAACTGTAATCCTTTATCAGTAGTGTTTAGTCGTAACAGTGAGTACTTCCGTCTTAATTAATCCTAAATTAAATAACAAACAAGTGACCTCTTCAACTCAATTAGCCCTAGTTAGTTTACACTGCCGCATCCCTTTGATTCAAGCCGCACCGCGTGTAAACGTGTGGAAACGACCTCAGTTCAGAGGGATACTTGCCCATGACAGGTAGGTGAATATCGGGTTTCTTTGCAAATATCAAGTTAAAAGGGTAATTTTGCTTTAAATTTCTGAAAATCTTTAGTCCAATCATATTGGCGTAGTTTGAGGCTAAAATTTAGTAGCAACTACTTATAAAATCGTAGTGGTTGGCATCTCTGGATTTGTTTGATGTGGGCCATTTTGACAAGGCGGACCTGTTACTGTCCAAGATTCTTTTCAAAATCTCTTACTTTGAGGTAAAGTTTCCAATGCTGTGTTGAAAGGTTGATAATAACCAACAACAGATGGAGAGTATAAGAATCGAGTCAACCAAATATGACATTTAAAAACAACTGCTCAAATATTGGAAACACATGTCATTCAATGCAGTCTGAGGTAACAATCTAATCCTGTAGACATTTTTGTGGATGACTTTACAACTCACATTCTCATAATGCGTGTCCAGTTTAACGGGGTCAAGGATGTAGTCAGGGTATCCAATCATGTCTGAGACGGTAATGACCTTCTCAATGGCAACGTCCCGAGTCTGGTCGTCCATCCAGGCGACTGTGTTCAAGTTTCTCGTGAATGCAGTTTCAATGTTGTCGATAGTGTTCAGGACTCTTGTAAACAATGGAAACCATTCACAATCACTCAATAGAAAGTGGAATCAGGTTTAATGTCATGCTAATGTTGGTGGATTAGCGTAATAATAATAATAATAATAATAACTAGGATTGCCTCCTCACAATACTGACGGCTTTCAGACCTTCCCATACACTCCCCTGCGGGCTACCTCTTCACTTGTACCGCTTTTGAACGCCAGCTGAGCTGCCGATTTAAGGGCTAGAAAGCCGCTCAAAACCCAGGCAGAACACGCTGACAATCGGAGCTGGATCGGTGAAATGCAGCCGGGTCGCGGGTCATACCTTTTAAGTAGTTCTGAGAAGATATAGTTCTTCTCATGAACTGGCTGGAATTCGCTGTCCTTGGGTCTCGGGTCCAAACGATTAGTGTTCTGGGATCGCCATGATCCTAGCTATCTGACGATACGTGCATTATACTGCACCTTGTGAAACAACCATAGATTTATGTGTGTATATAGTGCATTTCTTAAACAACCATTCAAAAATTTGAAATAAAACTCATTTCTGACTCTGTACTTGGCAATGTTTATTAATGCAAACTTGTTCTCGACGCTGTATGGATAATGCCGATGTAATGTAAAGGTCAATTCAAGGGCAAGTATTTCTTTAGGCATTGAATGACATTTCAGCAAAGATTTATACAAACCTGTAGAGGTTATGAATTCTTGAAGAAAGTCCTCCTTTGGGGTACAAATAAGCATTAAATGTCCATTTTAAATCCCACGACAGTTGTAACTATATTTTTAATAAAATATTTACAAAACAAAACTCGCTTTTATCTTGTGAGACCACTCCCTACAGGGCCCCACCGACCAACACAGCCAAGAGCAGGTAACTCTCGGCGCCTACCTCGTGACTCTTCACTTTTTCATGCTGAACGGTCAGACAGAATGAGGGGAGGGCGGTGGAGCGACTTCAGTTGAGGACTTTCTTCAAAGAATTCATAACTCCTACAGGTTTGTATAATTCTTTTCAGAAGAAGTCCTCCTGGGGTACATATAAGCATAAGGACAGACTCCCCAAAGATATTTGAGACGGGAGTGGCATTCTGTCTGGCAACAACTAAACCCGGGTGGAGGAAATCTACAACCGATAATGGAAATAGAAAACACCGAGCCACCTGACCGCTGATGTCAATCAGACGGGCATGGAACTAGAGAGCCCAAGCTTATATGTCAATTGGCTCAATATCAATGACATAAAACCCCTTCCAACCATTACAATGGAAGGAATGTATGGGAACATGCCGTAAACAACTCCCAACCCTAATATAGCCCCAGCCAGACAATCGTACGAGAGGTATATAAGGCAACAGTAAAGTTTCAAAAATTTAAACGCTTACAAAGCCAATAAACCCAGGAGTCGAAGCTTAATAAGTACTGCAAACTACTGCTCAATGCAGCCCCCTGTTTGGAAGAGGGCTTGCCGACCTCGATAAAACCCAGAGAAATTATTAGCCTCGGGCTAAAACTTTCTGAGGAAATCGAACCAGTACAAACGCCATGCATTGTAATGACCGTGAAAACACCCCCACCAAACACCCTCTCGGCGGAGAGGGTAAAGTGTAGGCCACCATCCCACAAAAGCCGATTAACACAGACTCCCAAATAACGGGCTCGAAGAGGGAAAACTGTAAGCGCATAAAAATCCCCTGAATAGCCGAAAGCGAAATCGCAACATATGTTGGCTCACCATTACACTAACCTGGACACGCGACATACGCTCGAAGAGAGCATACCAAACAGTGCCCCCGTGGGGGTTCGCGACCCAATCTGGCCGCAAGACGGGTTAATAGCATAGGACTGGTTAAAGCTGCTCAAACGGACCCCTCGCTTTGAAGGGGACGAAGGGACGATGTACATCTAAACTGCACCCATCCCGAAAGCGATGGGCTAATAATGATGTAGTGATATGAAATATATCGACATTGAACACAGAATCGATACCAATGACCAGTTACTAACTTGGTCAGGGTGGCAGGTCACTTCCACTGGAGAGAACCGAAATCAACCGGAAAGCAATCCATCCTTAGAATGCGTCAAAGTTGGTAATGGCGACGAAGGCGCTCTGCTGGCTCCAAAGAGCTTATTGCAGAACCGATCTTTCGATTGAGCAGTGCCGCTGTGTATTATCAACAAAGCTGCATCCGCCCTCACCCAGTTCGCCTTCAACCCTCAGGGGAGGTAAACCGATCATTGTAACCATACACCACGGAAACAAGCCAATGAGATAAAGTGCGCTTGTTAGCAGACTCCCCTAGTCTTCCGCCACCAAACAGCAAGTATGGGTACCCGCGACGGATCCCTTTGTTCGCTTCGTTTGCGACAGGCACGGGTGAGCAATCGACAGATTGGTCCCCGGTGCGAAGGGTTGGTAGTAGTGGAAGCGCGACATGAGCAGTCACGCGGAGCAATATCGCATTGAGAGTGGTAGGTATCCGAGTCGAATACGACATGATCAGTATAAAATACTGTCAGTGTCGGGTCAGTGGAATCGTGATGGATGTAAATCTCGACCTTTCTACCAGAGTTCACCACAACATAAAGTCGCCTTCCACCGCCAACAAGTGAAGCGAGAGAGACGATATAATTGAAAATTAGGGCCAGACAGCCAATTGTGAATAAGTGGCAATTTTTAAGGTGGGCTGGTCACGACGCGGGGCTGTCTAACCCTGTTCATGCCAGCGCTACGACGCCGATGTAATGCAGAGGATGCTGCTCTAGGCAGAGCACCATCGAACGAGGTGTGAAACGCGGAAAATAGCCATGGAGTACCCGCAATGGTGGAGGTCATAAGGCTCTCAACCAAAACGAAGGTTATAGTAACTCCAATATCCCAACTAAGTCCGCAGAATAGGGATTATGAAATCCTCTATCTGCACACCAGCTACTTCACCTATCAACACACTGAACGGGTGTCGTAATCCCAGGCAGAATTGTGTTCTGCAACGGTTGCAGGAATCTCGCGGTGTTATACCCGACAGAGGCCGGGCCACCCAGTGAACCGGTGGATTCGCGTGGCTCGCGCAGAGTGAGAATGTCTGGTCGAAGAGGTAATTCGAACCCGGGCGCAAGGGATCGAACACCAACCTGACTGCTTGTCAATTCCAGCACATTGATGTGCAGGTTGTGACTTCGCCTCAAGAGGCTGCAGGTCACCCAGAACATCGCCTCTAACCCGGTAGGGATGTATCTGGTTGGACTGAGAGCTTAATGGTGTCTCCAGGGGTTCGGGACCCTGGTAGAGATTTCTGACGCCTGTCCATCTGGCGGTAGCTGGTTAATAATTCGCCAGTTTCAGAATCTGATCGTGAGGTCAAGAGGACTCAACAGTTATCTGAAACCACGATGAGTCAGTCGCCTAACGGGTGACAACACCGCACTGGCGATCTGGCTATCTGAGCTGTAATAAACCCTCAATTTGGTGAACACCCTTGGCACCGTGAATGTAGCCCCTAAGGAGAGCAATACCTAAACTGGTAGCATCGCCCCACCAAACAAGAAACCGAAGGTAAATCTTGAAATCAGGGTGCAATGGAACAAGGAGGGACGCCGACTGAGGTCGATTGACGGCGCCAATCCTCGTCTCGCAGATGAGATCACCGAGCTGCGTTCCATCTTGAAGGACAGTAAATTCTATAAACTTGTTCAGCTTCTCAGATGAGAATGGGTCTGAACATTCCGGCTCAGTAATGGCAACTATGAAATAAGTGAGTCAAACCCCACATATTCCTGACCATTGAAACCACCACACTTGGTTGCCTAGCCCAGCAAAGACTGGATCTGGGCACGGAGTATTGTCACCGCCTTTCCGGGAAGCCGACACAGAGTGTGTCGTCCACCGTGTTTGCGGCAGAATATAAGGTAATCCCCAGCAGTCGGTAACTTAACGCTTGTCGATGTTTGGGGCACCTGAGGAAGTAACGAGAAGCTCAACAGACTTCCGTGATTCTTCGAACTGTCCCGGCGATATGCCCATAAATCGCCTTCATCATTTGACTGGCACAGCTACAATGCAGTCCCTAGCCAGATGAGAGTTGCCCTCGCCAGATGCCGCCCAGAGTCGCCGACGGTGTGGTCTCCAATCGGCTTCCTTCCTTTCCACCAGTTCCTCAGCAGCGCCGAGAGATGCGAAGTGGAGCATACAGCCGCTGAGCTGTGAAGGGGAAAGAACGGCAGACTTAAGGGAGAGTGTGAGGAGGCCTTGTCCCGGATGCCGCTGAAGGCAGGTATCCGGAGGCTTAACTCCAACGGCGTTCGGTAGTCGACATGGACAACACCTGAGGCAAACACAGCAAAGCGATTCTATCTCAAGACTTACCCCTCAGGGATCTAACCTACTTAGTGGTAAGTTCAAAGTAGCCGAAAATGAGCCGGCTCAAATCGACTTGTCCACTGTACGAAGCCTGAACCCCGACCAGGCACATGTGATAAGCCTGACAATCAAGGTTTCACAAGCACTCAGACAGACTCTCGAGCGGGCGAGGTGACAGTCACACCCACAGCACACTCGATGGCATCTAGGTCAATACGCCGATAGACATCAGGCCGCGAGACCTGAACTACCGGGCGCCGAGACCTGAACTACCGGAGTCGGAATCTGGCGCCTACCAGTGCCGGTAACCTGGGTCGGCGCTACCCACGGGTTCAGAGAACCGCGAGCCGGCTCAGCTGTTCTAGACCCAACCCTATCCCCAGACACGAGGAGTAGCCTGATAAATCAGGTTTCCCAAGCACTTCCAAAAGCGACTGAGCGAGATAGTCAAACATAGCCTATAGCTATATAAATACCCATACATACACATGTATGTATCGTAAGTGCGGGTCGGGCGGCTCGAAGTTCGAACCCCGATCCCCAACACATGGGAGTGGCCTGACAATGCAGGGCCTCCCTGGTGTACACGGGTAGACCTCGGGCGCCGAGGTGATCGGCAGCTCAGTACACTCAACGCCTCTTGGCCAGGGCATCGAGCAG